ACAATGGTGGTTGCAATATGTAATGTTTGGCAATGATCATGTTATGATTCATGTATATTCATTGTGATGATAATTCAATTGATAGTCACACGAGCCCTCGGATGTTTCCGCCGTCCAGTTCGAGGGTGTGACACTGCTTATTCTGCATAATTTCTGTTTAGACTAGTTTTCAGAGTGCTAGTTGAGTGCTTTAGTTTGTTTATCATTAAAACACCTGTAATTGAATCTTTATGAATATGAGACACTTTAAATCATAGATCTTGAACATACAAAAATGTTTTTATCATTAACTTGGTGACTCACAACTCTTTATTTATTGTATTACTTGCCACTTGACGATTCAGAAACTCTGCTTTAGTATTTTCAACACTTGGAATCTTCTAGTCTAAGGTTTACTAATTTTCTCATTTCTTTTCATAGATATCTGGTACTTTGGTTAATTAGGTGGTAAGTACGGGGCTAGGAAGATCTCAATTATATTAGAAATGTGATTATGGGATAGCAAGAGGAGCCTGAGATAGTATCAATGATTGACACTCATGCTGTGAGTCGCTTTTATTTCGAAGTGAAAGGGTTTTGGCAATAATATATGGCCAGGGATTCTGTTTCCTAGTAGAATCAACAAGATGCTTCAGTGTCGGCAGGATTTTTTTTTGGTTTGGGGTTGTAAAGTGGAGTCATATTGGCAATAATTTAGAAGGGTTTTATGTATCGGGAACTTGAGCTGAGTATTGTTGCTTATTCTTCATTGGTTAAGGTTAGCGGGGAAAGGATTCGATCATCATTAGTATGTGGGTCCTGCTAAGGTTGAGTCCGATTAATATATTGGAAGGCGATCGTATGACAGAGTCGATTTTCTTTTGGGGTGCTGGAAGAATTAATCAAATCATATGAGGTTCCTGGAATATAATGAGAAGTGATTTTGAGGATGAAATATAATTTAAGTGGGGGAGAGTTGTAACACCAATGTTCTAGTATGGTTTAGCTTTTTATTCTCTATGGCTAAAAATGGAGTTCTATGAAAAACTCTATGCCACAGTGTGGAGCAAGGATGCCTATGGTGTGTGGCATTGAATAAATGGCACACATATTTTATTGAGACACAACGACATGACCAAGAGTTGCCATGGCGTGGCAGCTGTTCTGTCCTAAGCCCATCATTCTTTTAGGGCTCCCTTCATATATAAATCCCTCTAAACCCATTTTAGGTTTCATTATCAGCCTCCAATACCTCTTTCACCTTAGAAAACCCTAGTCTCCATCCCTTGTTTGATTATTGATCTTTTTGGATCTTTCTTGGCTTAAAGAAGAAGAAGAAGAAGAAGAAGAAGAAGAAGAAGAAGAAGGTGATCTTTTGGTGGAGCTTGTAAGGAATTAGCATTATCATCACCTTATATTATCTCTGGACCTTTATAAGTGTCCAAGTTCTTTGCTTTATGTCATGTGGTGGTTAGATCTAAAATATTATCCAATGTTCCTCATGTTTGAGAAAGTTTGGAGGGAAGGAACTCTTAAAGTTCGTAACTTTATGACTCTTCGGTGTTCCAAGAGTATTATATCTTATGGATCATCTTTGATGGAAGATCTGATCATTTACCTAAGCTTTGGCCTTTAATGTTCCTATTTTAACCTAAGAAGGATCTTAGACATGTATTGGGCATACGTGTATATAAAGTTTTCACCTTTATGATAGTTCTAATATTAGAAACCCTTTTGGAGTAGTTGGGTTAAGTACTTTTTTTAGATTAAGAGCTTAATGATTAAGACATTATGGATTTTGGTTTTATTTGGACCTAGTTTGAGATCTTGATCTCTTTGGGTGTCTTAGCGGATAAAGCTGGAAATTTTATGCATTTAGAAATAGTATGGAACAAATCTGAACTTTAGATCCCTTAAGATTGAGGGAGGTTGCTTAGTCCATTAAGCTGCTAATGACTTAGTGCCCAGGACATGGCACCAAGTCACCACGGCATGGCAATATGGAATATCATGATGGACTGTTGTTGGATAGCCACGGTGTGGCCTTGAGTGGCCATGACGTGACGTTTTACTAAAGTCAACATTGACAGTTGACTTTGACTGTTAACTGTTGGCATGGGTAGACTTTTTGGGTCAATCTCTATTTTTAGAAGGTAGACTTAGGGTTTGCCTTGTGTAGATTGTTAGGAGGTTTTTTACAGCCATCTTTTGGCGGTGAGAGCTATTGGTTGTGAACGGTGCAACGTTGCGCAAGGTTTTAGTTAGCATCGTGATTTAGGTGAGTTTGCTCACTATACTCTAGGATCGTAGGGATTGTATGTGCTTGTAGACTTTGTGACTCCTGTTGTATATGTTGTATGCATGCATGCCTGTTTGCTATATGCATGTGACGTGAAATAGACCCGATACAGCCCTATGCTGAAATATGAGTTGAAATAGACTCTGAGTGAAATAGAACTGGTATAAACATGTGTTGACATATGAGTTGAAATAGACTCGAGGATGAAATAGAAGTGGGGGTGAAATAGACCCTGTACAACCTTGTGCTGACATATAATTCAAAATAAATTCGGGGGTGAAATAGACCTAGGGGTAAAATAGCTTGAGTTGACATATATGTATGGAATGCAGTATTTTGGGAAAATCACTAAGCTTTATGCTTACGGTTTATGTTTATCGTTTCAGGTATTTCCAGTTCGAAAGGGAATGATCTGACTTGATCGCATCGCATCCACCCAAGTTTTTGCGCTTTGTGATTTTGGGATTTTACTCTAATAACTACTTTTACTTTGATTTGCTTTTGAATGATTGAAAATAATAAATGGTGTTTATGGTTGAATTAAGAATTAAAATTTTACCTTATAATTTTGGAGATGTTACAATTACTTCCCGATTTGTATAACAATTTTTTTTATTTTATTTACTAAAATATAAAGTCCACATTCTCCCTTCTTATTATCGGATGGAGTACCTAAAAACATTTAATAATAACTGGGTAAACGTTAGGTTTAGTGAGTTCTCCAAAATACCAAATACCAATATATATATATATATATATATATATATATATATATATATATATATATATATATATATATATATATATAACCGAAAGATTACCTATACGCCATTCCGAACACCACTCACTTTCACCGTGCTAGAACCTCCGACCTAACAAAAATGCCGTAAACATGAATATTGAGCTTACCAAGGGGGTGTTTGGCTTAGCTTTTTAAGGGTCAAAAGATCTTTTTGGAAAAGTTGCAAAAAGTCAGGTTTTCCTGACTTTTCCAAAATGTTGATTTTCCTTCTATTAAAAATCCAAAAGTGAGTTTTAAAATTGTTTTGCCAAACATCTTTTGGTTTCTATCTTTTTCTAAAAGATCTTTTGGCTTCTCAAAAGCTAAGCCAAACACCCCCAAGGCTCAAGTCTCATCTAGAGAATTCAAATCCCTCTGTGTTGCCCTGCACTTTGTTATGGTAAACGTCAGCAGGGAAGAACAGCCTAGCTCATCTATGCTTTGATGATGTTTTTTGGTTTCGACCATAAATTCTAGAGAGCTCTATCCAGTAATATATTTTTGATAAGTCATTATACATCTTTTAATATGATTTTCTTGAGACAAATGTAAATATGAAGTGTAGTAGTTAGTTACTATAAATTGGAAACTTTAACTTTATTTTCTTATATTCTATAAAAAAAAATTCTTTTTCGATTTGGCGATTTTATCAAGTTTATAGGTAATCTTCCAGTTATATATATATATATATATATATATATATATATATATATATATATATATATATATATATATATATATATATATATATATATATATATATATATGGGGTTAGGTTCATGTGAGATGGTCTAATTTTGTGAGACCGTAAAATACATTTTTTTTATTTTTTTTTAGTTAATTTAAGTTCCGAAAACAATATTTAAAAAAAGAATTTTTTTGATATTTCCATTTATTTTGCATTTTAAAATTATTTTTAGAACATGTACAATGTAATATTCTATTTAGAATATTTCACGTATTTTTAAAAAAAAATAGGTTTTTTTATTATTATTATTTTTTAGTTAATTCAAGTTCTGAAAATAATATTTAAAAAAAGAATTTTAAGATTTTTCCATTTATTTTGCATTTTAAAATTATTTTTTAGAATATGTCAGTGTAATATTCTATTTAGAATATTTCACGTATTTTTCAAAAAAAAAAACGGGATTTTTTTTTTTTTTTATTTTTATTATTTAATTCAAGTCCCGAAAACAATATTTGAATTTTTTTTTTTTTTGGATTTTTCCATTTATTTTGCATTTTAAAATTATTTTTAGATTTGGTATCACGGTCTCACAAAATTAGAATGGTCTCAAATGAACCTGAACATATATATATATATATATATATATATATATATATATATATATATATATATATATATATATATATATATTATAAAAACAATTTTACGGCTTATAAAAGCAAATTAAACATTTTTTTTTTGTGGAAAACAGATTTGAATTATAATAAACATCGTCATTAACTACATACGACATGATTATCAATTTGATTTTTTGTTTGAAGCATAAATGTTAACATTGTGATTATGGTGATTATCCCAATAATCAATTTAGATCATAAGTTTGTCTTCATTCTTCCAAGGTAAAAATAGATACTTACATGGATTTGAATACATATATATATATATATATATATATATATATATATATATATATATATATATATATATATATATATATATATATATATATATAGAGAGAGAGAGAGAGAGAGAGAGAGAGAGGTTTAAATGTGTTTAGCAAATATTGTGTGCCTAAATGCACCAACTAGAAATTAACAAATAATTAATTAATTAATTAATTAAATAAGGGTAAATTAGTAATATTACATATATGTATTAATGAATATCCAAAATTAACAATTGATATCCCTTTATTTAAGGGATCAATTTTTATTTACCTATTAAAACCCTACACCGTAAGAAACTAGGATCCTATGCTCTCATCGGACTCCCACAATGTGTCTTTCACCACCACACAATTCTCCAATCATAATCTTAAATCCTACAAACTAAACAATCGAAGAACCCTAACTGTATCCGCACTAGGAGCCGACACATTTGAGGGAACAACACTAGCAGTCATCGGAGGTGGCTCGGTCGCAGCAATTGCCGCCGTGATTTCACTCGCAGAACCCGAGAAGCACCAGCAGTTGCAGGCGGAGGAGGTTGTTGGTCAGGTTCACGTTTCAGGTTCACTTTTCCTAATTTACACTCTTCGTTATCTCAATTAGGTCTTACAATTTCGATGTTTCGATTGAATTTTGTACTCATTAACTTTCGATTGAATTTGGGAGATACAAGGATTTGTTAGGCACTGGTGCAGTGAAGAAGGTGTACAAGGGATTTGATCAAGAAGAAGGAATGGATGTGGCATGGAACCAAGTAAAACTAAGAAGCTTCGGTGGAGATCCATCTGTTCTCAAGAGACTCTTTTCAGAAATCAAACTGTTACAGACATTAGAGAATGAAAACATCATTGTTCTTTACAATTTCTGGAGGGATACTAAAAACAACACCTTGAACTTCATCACATAGGCATGTGCTTCAGGTAATTTAAGGGATTACAGGAAGAAACGCAGACGGGTTTCATTGAAGGCATTGAAGAATTGGTCAAGACAGATTTTGAGAGTGAAATATGAAATGAGAACTTTATCTCAGGTGTGTGTGTGTGTGTGTGTGTGTTTCAACTGATCAAAATTTTCTTTTTTCCACCGTTAACATATGCGGTTAACAGTGTCTGTCTCCTTTGCAGCTACATGTTTCAATGGGTCACAGTTTCGTCCATTGATACCCTTGTTAGAAGCCATGCCAAAGGAACTTGGTGCTAGCCTGCATGATATGCTTAATCTGATCACAGGTAATTTCTTGAAACAACATTATGTCATGGCCTCCATGTGTTCGATAAAAGGCCTCAATGAAAAAATAGTTAAAAATCATTAATGTTTCTACTTCACTTTGTTCCTTATGCTTTTCAGAACTATATAACTCAATTTAGATTGGGTTGGATGCCATTTTCATAACAATAGGTTGATGCTAGTTCCTTATTCTGTCAGAATTTGCAGTTAAATACATTGAGCATATCGAGAAGAAACACATGGAACCCGAAGAATGTTAGTTCCTTATTATGTCAGAATAGGTTGATGGTAGTTCCTTATTTTGTTTGTTGGCTATATTCTTGATAATACAAATTCTTAAAGAATATTCTTGCAGAATAGTTTATTTTGTAAGAATATTATTTGTTGTATTCTGATAGAATTGTAGTTAATTATTTGTATGTTTAATGTGCAGGGTTTACAAGTATATCACTACAAATTACTTGGCAATGAATTTCTGGTAGAATGGCTTGAAGACCCGATGAGAAAGGGTTGAAGAATGAATTAAAGAATGATCACACTCATTTTTTAAGAATGTTGTTATTTTTTAAGAATTATAGTTGTTTATTCTTTCATAATGTTTGTTATTATTCAATGAATCACAACCATACAATGTAATTTTTTGATATATTATTAGTTCAAGAATCGATTTTGTGTATTCTTTCATAATGTATTTACTAGTTTATGTTTGACATTCTGCCATTCCGATAGAATAAAATCGAAAAATACATTTACTAGTTTATGGTTGACATTTTATCATTCTGACAGAATAAAATCGGATTTTAAAATTTGAATTAATTTAAAATATTCAGATTTTTAAAAAATAAAGGAATTAATCATCCCTAAAAATCTGAAAATTTCCTTTTTTAATATAGGTTAATTGACTAAAATGCCCTTATGCTGAAATTTGTGTGATTATATGGTACATGTTATCGTATTCTACTACCATAGACCCTCAAATCATGACATTTGATTATATTCCATCTGATGATCCAGATCTGTGCATTTTGGTACACAATAGTTAGTAAAAACAAAATAACCTAACCATATATATATATATATATATATATATATATATGTATATCCGATAAGAAATTTTTTTTGGTAGGAAGGTAAGAAGTTTTTTTTTTCTACTTATTTTTTTTGACGAACAAAATAAATGAATCACTAGATGATTCACAAGAAAAAATTCTCAAAAAAACATCTTTATGATTCATTTTTAAGTAAATTAAGAAAAAAAATCATTTTTATGATAATTTTAGTGAATAATAACAAAATCATTGTATAAATAAATCATCGAAATGGTTTTTTGAGAATTTTTTTCTTGTGAATCATCTTACAAATGAATCATCTAATGATTCATTTTGTTTGTTCGCGAAAAAAATATATAGAAAAAAACTTCTTACCTTTCTACCAAAAATTTCTTTCTTGTTTGATCTTGATTATATATATATATATATATATATATATATATATATATATATATATATATATATATATATATATATATATATATATATATATATATTCGAAAATTTTTGTTTTCGAAAAAACCTCAGATATTGCAAAAAATTCAAACATCCTGTAAAATAGATTTTGGTATTTATTTTGCTAATAAGAGTCATATACGACATCCTTTCTCCAAAAAAAAAATCTCAGTCACATCTTAATGTTGAAAACTATAAGTACAACATACAAAGTAACAAACATCAAAAACAAACAAATTTTGAGCGGAAACAGTTTTTTTTTTTTTTTTTTTTTTGGGGGGTTAAATACGAGAGTTTTTTCAAAAAAAAAAAAAAAAAAAAAAAAAAAAAAAAAACACATTGTTTCTAAAAATAAAAAATACAGTTACCGTTTAATCCAATAAAAACTGAATAAATAGACTCGGTATGTAATTAACTCGTTTTGTTTTATAGAGCAAAATTAACTACAATATATGTGAAGAATAATGGGGGGCATACAATGGGCTTATATTTACAATACCCTAAACATCTAATGACACAATGGCAGTGAAAACGTTAAGAGTCCTTTACTATTGGATTGAGCCCAAACTTGAAGACTGCATTTTAACACCCTATAATATATATAACATGGGTTTTGGGTTTAAAGTGTACGTAAATAGTACATATAATTCTCTACACATTTTTATAAATTGTTTAGTATTTAACTCATCTAGCATATTGCGGCGAAGAAATTGTTTGCAATTACCTAAAATGAAAATAATAAAAAATATCTTTTGATGGACCAAAAACGTAACTTTAATACACGGGTATCTATTTTGCAATTCGTATATAAAATATGATTTACAAATAACAAGAATATAGTATGAAGTAGACCACAAAAGTATTAAAATAAAGTTTTGATAAAAAACAACATAATAGATTATATGTTTAAATAAAATATAATATTAATAAAAACCAAAACTATAAAAACATATATGTAAAAGATTAAAAATTTAACTTTAAAATATAATAAGGACAAAAATATCAAATTATAAAATACAAATAATCGACCTTTAAAATTATAAATGATGACTGTTAGATCATAATTTCTTAAGGAAAAAACGTATAAATAACAAAAAAATCCATTATGACAAAGAGTAAATTTCTATTTTCTGCATAACACTTTTATTTTACATTTTGTATTAACTTTAAAATATGTAATTTCGTTTGGCTTTGGAAATAGTAAGGTACCGGAATATCAACTTACAAAATACAAATAATTTAATTTTAAAATTATATATATAAGGAAAACTGTTAGATAAAATTTGTTAAGGGAAAAAATATAAATATGAGAATCAACTATATTAAAGACTTAATTTCTGTTTTCTGCATAGAAATTTTATTTTAGATTTTCTGTTACATGATTTAAAATATATAACTTCATTTTGCCTTTGGAAATAGCAACCCAAAACAAATAGTAAACCTTCTTTTATATATATATATATATATATATATATATATATATATATATATATATATATATATATATATATATATATATATATATCAAATTTAGGCTTCAAATTTTCAAGGTAACTTCCCTAACTCATAGTATAACACCATTAGCCTTCAATTTTGTGATTTATCTTTGGAAAATGACCATATTCATGAGTTTACGGCCCTGGAGCATGCTTGGGCCGTAAACACATGTGAAGAGGGTTTTTGAGCCTTTAAACCCTTCCAAACCAACTTTAGGACTTTGATATGACTTTATGGCTTACCAATTCGGACTTAGAACACCCTAAACATGATTTTTGAAGAGTAAACATGAGTTTACTGCCCAAGGAAATACTTGGGCCGTAAACTAGAGTAAACTCAAAAACAAGTGATTAAAAGCCATTTAAACACACCATTAGCCTTGGAATAAATCCTAGAACCAACCTCAATCGATTTAGGGGCCTTAAACTAGATGGAAACAACCCCATGGAGAGTTCATGGCCGTAAACTCCCCAAGGATGAGTTCCTGGGCCGTGAACTCACTTACACAAGTCAAATGATGCCCAAACTGATGGGTTTTGGTCATAAGACATCCTATGTGCTCATACAAACCCTAATGCTCGGATCTAGGTTTCTCTATTGTACATGCTTTGAATCCAAGACTATAAACCCTAATTCTAGCATTCAAGTAATCATATTAATATGTAATTAGGTTTAAGATCATACCTTGATTGTTATATAGCAATAACAATCCTAATTCCTCCTTGTATTGACTTTGGAAGGCTTAGAGTCACAAGTGTCACTCCTCTAATGGTTCACAAACACCATAAGCAAGAGGATGAAGAGGAGAGAGGTTGGAGGCTGCCAAAAATAGGTGTAAACCCTTACAAGAACATAAGCCACGTTTTTGAGCCTTAAGGGGTCTTTATATAGTTGGGCTATTAGGGTTATCTAACAAGGAAACCCTAATTTGGATGCTTAAGCCCTAAGCAACCCATAGACTCCTTTAATTAAGCCCATGGACGATTTCCTTATGGGTTTCCCATTAGAATTCGTCCATCCTTAATACAAGGCAATCCATGGCCCAAATTGCAATTATCTTATAATTACAATTCCAGTCCCTTAAGTTTAATTAATCTCTTTTAGTCACAAAACTAATTACCAATTAATTATTGACTAATATTAATTAAACAATATGATTTCTCCTTTAATATATTATTCCCATAATATTAATAAATCATATTTAATCCTTACTCTCCATAATTCATCCTATCAAGTTGCTTTGGTGAAGGCAACCCAAAAGGACCATGCACCATCGGGTCAAGTACATACCAAAATAGTTATGGACTTAGACACTAATCCAACAGTCTCCCACTTGGATAAGTCTAACAACTATTCTGCGTATGACTTCAGATCCTGATCTGCAATCGTAGCTTTCCAAAGCCGCTGTCAACTCTGATCATATCAGATACGCGTGTCCTTAGATAAGGGATCATATATTCCTCCATTCTAGATATCGTATGAGATATGATTTCTAATCATTCTCTTTGTACTATATCTCGATTTCCGATTTATGACGACAGACTAATTGAACAAATCAAATTAGCCCTAGCCCGGCCGAGCATTTACGTATGTCATCACTAAACCATCGAGGGGCCCAAAGATATCGCTTTTATTCTTTGAATAAAAGGAACGGATAAACTTTGATACAATGCTTGCT